ATCTCAATCTCTTCACCATCCATCCTGATGCTGCCAATTGGTCCAGTGGTGAGAATCTTTGTCTTCTTGACATTGAGCCTCAATCCATACTGAAGGCTGAAGTCCTTGACCCTCTGCAGCAAGTACATCAGCAAGTACATCCTCAGTTTCAGTAGTGAGGATTTTTGTTTTCTTGATGTTGAGATGTAACCCATATTGAAGGTTGTGGTCTTAGATCTTCTGTAGTAAGTACTTTAAGTGTTCTTCACTTTCTGTAACTAAGGTAGTATCTTTCACATAATGCAGGTTGATGATGAATCTTCCTCCAATTATGATGTCGTTTTCTCCATCATATAGTCCAGCTTCTTGTGTGATTTGTTCAACGTACAGATTGAATATATGTATTTAAAGATATAACCCTGACACATACCTTTCTTAATTTAAAAAGCATGCAATATTTCCTCATTCTGTTCATATAAGTCCTTCTTAATCTATATATAGGGTTTTTTTATATAGCAGAATTAAGTGTTCTTTCTAACTTAAAAGTAGAAAAAGCAGGGGGTGGGAACAACAAACTCATGTCCATTGAATCCATTCAGACTTTTAGCTACCCCATAGGACAATGTAGAACTGCCCCATAGAATTTCCAAGGTTGTAATGATGACCTAGGGAGCTTTGGTGCACTGCCAATCAAAGGTGGTTGTGGTGGTGGTTGTTAAGTGCCATTGAGTCAGATGCAACTTATAGCAACACTATAAACAAAAGACCTTAACCATATTCTATAACTACCATTGGTTCTCTACATTCACAGAGTTTCAAGAGGCATGTAGTTTAGGAAATGGATGCCACTCCTGCTCCCAAGTCTGTCTCAATCTGGGAGTTCCACCAAACACTATCCACCACCAGTAACCATTATGGCATTTGACATACCAATGGCACAATGTCCAGGATCACAGAAACCCCAAGTTGCCTCAGTACAGCAAATTGACAGACCAGTGCTGAACCATTTAGAAGTATATTTGTTCCAAACACAGTTAAGAATTATCAGTTGTGTTTGAGCTGATTGGATTTGCTGGATTTAGCTAAGAATGAGCTGTGGACTAGAAGCCTCTTGTTTGTATTTAAAAGTCAGTTGGGAACCAAATAAAACTCAACTTTGAACCATGGGAAAAAAAAAAAGTCAGTTGGGGCCAATTTGGAGGATGCTCATGTATGAAGTGGCAGGTTTCTGGAAAATGGGTTCTCTTGTTGTGGCTAAGGGTCAGGTGTGGACTGGGTTGGTTGGTTATCTTTATTTTTATTTCCTTTTTAATCCAAAGGTTGTTGTTATGTGCCGTCGAGTCGTTTGCGACTCATAGTGACCCTATGTACAACAGCCCTAAACCATGCTCTATCCCATGCCAATCTCATTGCCTCTGATACACCCATCCCGATTACTCCAGTCACTGAATCAATCCACCTCATAGAGGGTCTTCCCCTCCCGCGCTGTCCCTCCACTCTACCCAGCATGATGTCCCTCTCCAAAGACCTGTCTCTCCTTGCAACATGTGCAAAGTATGTCAGAGGAAGCTCCAGAATCTTTGCCTCCAAGGAGTAACCTGGTTTAACCCTCTCTAGGATGAATCTGTTTGTTTTCTTGGCAGTCCATGGTACATTCAATACTCTTCTCCAGCACCACAGCTCAAAGGCATCAATTTTCCTTCTGTCCTCCGTAGTCATTGTCCAGCTTTCTGATGCATAACAAGTTATTGCAAAGACCATGGCCTGTATCATGCGCACCTTCTCTCCAAAGAGACACCTTTGCTCTTGAGTACTTTAGAGAGGTCCCTAACCGCAGGCTTTTCCATCGTGATACGTTTTTGTATTTCCTGGCTGCTGGTGCCAAGATTGTTGACTGTGCAGCCGAGCAAACTGAAGCTGTGAACAATCTCAATCTCTTCACCATCCATCCTGATGCTACCAATTGGTCCAGTGGTGAGAATCTTTGTCTTCTTGACATTGAGCCTCAATCCATACTGAAGGCTGCAGTCGACCTTCTGCAGTAAGTGCATGAGGTCCTCCTAAGTTTCAGCGAGCAAGTTTGTGTCATCTACATAACTCAGATTGTTGATAGATCTTCCACCAATCCTAACGCCACGCTTCTCCTCATAGAGCCCAGCCTCTCGAATAATCTGCTCTGCATACAGTTTGAAAAGGTATGGAGATAGGACACATCCCTGACGTACACCCTTCCCAATTTTGAACCATGCAGTGTTACCCTGCTCTGTTCTGACGACTGCCTCTTGGTCCAAGTACAGGTTTCACATTAGCACAATTAAATGTTCTGGGATTCCCATTCTTCTCAGAGTCAGCCACAGTTTGTTATGATCCACACAGTCAAATGCCTTTGCATAATCAATGAAACACAGATAGACATTCTTCTGGTATTCTTTGCTTTCAGCTAAGATCCATCTGACATCAGCTAAAATATCCCTAGTACCACGACCCCTTCTAAACCCAGCCTGGACTTGTGGCAGTTCTCTGCTGATGTGTTGTTGCAGTCGTTTTTGAATAATCTTCGGTAGAATCTTGCTTGCATGTGAAATCAATGCTATTGTTCTGTAGTTTCCACACTCAGTTGGGTCACCCTTCTTTGGAATGGGAACAAATATAGATATCTTCCAGTCAGTTGGCCAAGTGGTTGTTCTCCAGATTTCTAGGCAGCTAAAATACACCAGCTTCTCTGCAGAAAAAGGATGGGCAAGCTCTTCCTGTGCAACTTCCAGCCTTTGAAAACCCACTGGAGGGTCAGCTATGAGTTGGTTCTAAATTGATGGCATATGATAGATAATAACAACAATGATGTTCTCATGGGTAAGCATTTGCATTGCCAATCCAAAGGCAAGTGGTTCAACTCCACAATGTGCTCTGTGAGAGAAAGATGGGCACTCTTCCCTTACAGCCTCTGAAGATCTGCTGGAGGGTCAGCTATAAGTTGGTTCTGATTTGACGGCAATCAGGATTTTTTGAGAATATTTATGAAATATTTCTTTCTTTCTCAGAGCAGCTGATGTTTTGATCTCCTGATCTTTCTTTTGTGTTTAACTACTGCCATATCAGAGCTTCCCTTAAAAGTAAATATAGTCTAATTGTTGTGGTGGTGGTGGTGGTAGTGGTGATGGTGTAACATCAAATTGGAACCAATGCATAGCTGACCTTCAAGCAGGTTTTCAGAATCAGTTAATCACATGGGAGGAGATTGCCCATACTTCTACCATGGAGCATCTGGTGGATTCTAACTGTGCATTTGGGATTGCACATAGTTGAAAAAAATGGGTAATAAAATTTGTTAATTGAGGCAAATTGAGCTGAATATATTGTGATATGAGGAAATGCCCATTTATATGAGGACCTCCTGAGAATGAGGACTACCTCTGATCTTGTTTATCTTTTATCCCAGAGAACAAACAGATCTGTCCAGGAAAAAGTGAAACCAGGGTGCTCCTGGGAGACGAGAATGGTGAAACTGTCTCACTTACTTTGGACATGTTGTTAGGAGGGGCTAATCCTTGGAGAAGGACATCATGCTTGGATCTGGTGCACCTTAGTCTTTAAACTAATACTCTTACTCTTTAACACTCTGGAGATGTTCCCGACAGCAGATTCTTTTCCCCAATGCAACATGCCTGTTGATTTCTTAACTGCTGCTACCAAAGGTGTTGATTGTGTGTCCATGTAAAATTAAACCCTCAACATCACTGCTTTTGCTGTCTATCATGATGTTGCCTGTTCGTCCAGTGGGGAGGATTTTTGTTTACTTAATGTGATGCAATCCATATTGAAGGCTGCAGTCTTTAATTATCTGGAGCAAATGTTTCAAGTCTTCACTTGCAGCAAACAAGGTGGGGTCTGAAGCTCTTCAGGGTTAGATAGTCCCCACTGAACCCAACAAGTCCCTCAGTTGCCCTTCCAAGTTCTTGGATCACAGATCGGAGATGACAAAATGAACACCCCTCAGCCAGCAGATGCCTTTGTTCTTCCTGTTTCCTAACGCTCCTTTGTTTTCTCCACAGGTTTGCCAAGCTGCTCCTACGCCTCCCTGCCCTGCGCTCCATTGGCTTGAAATGCCTGGAGCACCTCTTCTTCTTTAAGCTCATCGGGGACACACCCATCGATACCTTCCTCATGGAGATGTTGGAAACCCCGCTGCAAATCACCTGAGGCGCCTGCCATGCCACTCTCCCCGCCCAGGATCATCCCTGGGGCCTGAGTGTGTGGACTCCCACCCGCACTTCTTGTATACTCCCCTCCAGCTGTCTCCCGACCCCATTCTCATTCCCAAAATGTGATGCTTATAATAAAGGCAACCTTTCTACACTTGACGCTTTTATAGGTGGAGTTTTGTAGAGATGTTCAATGTAACCCTTCTTTGATACATAAGGGGCTGGGGGGGTGGTCTTTCTGGATGTTCTTGGAAAACTAACTCATGACTGTACAGAGAACTGGTTTAAATTATTTTTTCACTTGCCATGGAAAGCAAACAAAACAATAAAAATAATATATGCTGTTGGCACGGCTCGGAGCGCAGGTGTGTTATTGTGCTGCAGAGAAGTTGTCTCTAAAGTGGGAGTGGTGGTGTGGGGGGTAGAATGAAGTCCGTAGCTGCGGTCCTGAGACCTGAATTCCAGTGTGGATGCCTGCATCGGAATCGTAGCTGGACTTGTGAGCCAGCTCTGCCCCAAGGCAGCGCCACCACCACAGCCCCAGCCCCAAACCAGAAACAAAAGCTGTCTATAGGCTCAGCTGGATTTGTTTTGTTTTCTTCCTAAGACTGATAAGCAGAACCCTGGTCCTAACTGAAGGAATATTGTGTATGAGGCCAACAAAAAAAAAAGGTTTTCTTGGTGAGAGAAAGGTCTTGGGTCCAGGAAGTACATGAGAGGTAATAATAAAGAAATGACTATTCTATCATTAACCAGCAAAAAAAAAAAAAAAAAAAGACCAGCATGCCTCAATTTCTTTTCCCTGGTTATTTAACACAATGGAGTCATTTGGGAGTAGAGGACTACTGGATGGTACAACTGGTTAAGCGTCCCACTGTTAATAGAAAGTTTGGTTGTTGGAACCCATCCTCAGAGGCTCTTCAAACAAAAGTCCTGGAGAAATGCTTCTAGAAGGTCCCAGCTTGGAAACCCTCAGCAGGACAGTTCTGCTGGGTACATGTGGGGTCACCATAAGTTAGTATTGACTTGATGGAGCTAACAGCAAGCACAGCTTGTTTTCTGGAAGGAAAAGGGAGAAAGCTTCTCCCAGCTTCTAGACCAGCATCTCAAGTTTTGTCTGGTGCTCTTAGAGCTCAACTGTCTCCTGGACAACAGTGTGCTCTTGAGGGTGGGCACTGACCAACATGACCAGCCTATGTAGCCGATCTTCAGCCACTTCTCTGCCATCGGCAGAAATAGGTCTTAACAGATACACAGATCTATGCTCATTATGACTGCTGTCCATGGATTGTAGAGTGTAAAACCTAAGCAACTGTACGTGGCTGCCCTGCTTACCCTCCATACCACCAGAATCTGACCCAGTACCTGACACACAGTAAATGTGTGTTGTTGAACTACATCCCAAAACTGGGAATAACTCTCTGGCGAGGAATGTGGACAGTGCCTTCCAGGATTTAGCTGACTGGCTCAAATATATCTACCAATGATCATAGACTTTTCTTTTTAACTTTATTTTTTAATAGGGCAGAGGGCAGGTGTAGTTAATCCTAGGGTAGCACAATTGGATGGGTATGGGGATGGCTGGGTGAAGCACATGGGAAAGATCTGGTGTGAAAAACAATGCACATGAACTTTGTAAATAAACTGGGGGGGGGAGGGAGGGAACCCCACCAAACACTAATCACACACATACACACACAAATCTCAGTATTGTTGAGTAAGAACTGACTTATGGATGACCCTGTAATAGGTTTCCAGAGGTTGTAAATCACATGAGATTACCCATCTTTCTCCCACAGAGCAGCTGGTGAATTCAAACTGTCTATGGGTTGGTTCTGACTCTACGATACACAGCAACAATGACCACCTTTGGGTATGCAGCGTAACTCCTTGCCCATAGTGGGCCATGAACACAGATTTTTGAAGAAACTAAAATAAATTATAAAGCAAAAACAAAAACCATTGCTTTCCAGTCATAATCAGGGTAGAATTCCCCGAAGGGGTGTCTAGTGCTGTTTCTAAAACAACTCTCTTTATGGTGTATTGGCATGGAGGATGCAAAAATTAGTTCAAGTATCGTCACAACTGGCAGGCTAGCACAGCACTGGGCAGGGTTTTGTTCAGTGTACACTGAGTCACTGAACCAGTTCCACATCTCCTTATAAGCCGACTGCCTCATCTGTCTCCTGATCAGTGGTTGATGGATTTGAACCACCAACCTTTTTCTTAGTGAATTAAACACTGCTCCGTCAGAGTTCTTAGTAAGATCACTTGATTACTAGGAAAAGTTTAATGATAGATCCCTTAGCCTTGAGCATTAAACAATGAAACTAAAATCTTAATTCCGCTGGTTTTTTTTTCCCTTTACAAAAAAAGTACATTATTTTCAATCATGAAGAAAGTGGTAGGGGGGCATCTACACTTTAGTTATGGGGTCCCTGACCTTTGTAGGTCATGTGGTGGAATTCACTGGGCTCTTAGCTTTCTTGCTCTGGCAGGTTAAGGATTTCTAGAGAAGGTCACCGCCTCTCCCCACTGGTGGTAGCCCCACCTCTCATTCCCATCTTTGATCCTTTCCTCACGGAACACTGGGCTCTTGCCTGGAGCCAAATTCGAGACTGATGAAGGCCTAAGCAGGGCCTCCAGACATCCAACAGGCATAGTGTCTACAGTAATTGCTTCACAGAACTTCACTGGTCTGAAAAGCAGCTCTGCAGGAGGTTTCTTCACAAGTAGGTCCCCCAACACTCACTGGGGCTCCAAAGGCCATCTCCTTCTTGACCTGCTTCTCCCTTAAACCCCAGGCAACCGAGTGACTATTTTGATCCCAATCAGAAGGAATTCCAGCTGGTTAAAGAATTCAGCTGCTAACTAAAAGGGGAGTGATTTGAACCCACCAGGTGATATGACGGTGAAGGATGAACCAGTCCCTCCTTTAAAGAGTTACAGCATCAGAAATACACAGGGCCGCTCTACTCAGTCCTATAGGGTCGTTACAACTCTGAATTGACTTGATAGCAGTGAGCTTACCTTAGGGCCCACATCTCTGAAGAGAGACTCTTCCTTAGTGTCTTGTCAGCTCTGCAGAGTGGACAGGCTACCCAGTCAGTGCCAAATAACATTTTTTTTGTTTTGTTTTTTTGGGGTTTTTTTTGAGACCCATACTCTCTTACTACCCAATGCATTTACATAGGCAATGGAAGAAGAATGTCCAATTCTCCTAGGCCTGACCATTACTTGAGGAGGCATATTTCTTGATAAGGATTGGCCATATCCTGTCAAGGTGACTAAATGACCAGATCCTGATAGGGCCTTGGACCTTATTACATACTAACAGGATCCCTGCCCACAAATTCCTGAGCAAAGGACCATCCCCTCTAAATTTCCTTAACAGCTCCTGCTGTGCTCAGGGGAAACTGCTTTTGTCTGCTTGCATACCACTCTGACTTCTGACCCCCTCTGCGTTCAGTCACTTGGTGTCCCTCTCAGGTCTACTTTATTAAAAGGTCTTTTCACTTCTTGGGACCAATCTCCTCTCCTCTCCTCTCCTCTCCTCTTCTCTCCTCTCCTCTCCTGTCCTCTTTCTCCTCTCCTCTCTCTCTGAATTCTTTTTTTCTATCTAACAGACAGCACAGCTGAGGGAGTGTACAGGGCCCATGACTCCATTAAAACAGAACCAGCTCTGATGTAGACAGCAGGGTTTGGCTCCTGGATCTACCAGCTGGTCCTGCTGTGCTCAGGGGAAAGTTGTTTTACTTCTCTGACTCTCAGTTCTTTCCATTATTTGTCAAAATCTAGTATAGTGCCCTATGGAGACCTGTTGTTCTATACATTTGTGTTGGGACCAATGCATAGCTGACCCTCCAGCGTGTTTTCAGAGGCAGTAAATCACATGGGGGCAGATTGTCCATCTTTCTCCCTTGGAGACCTTATATACACAAAAAGATGGTGTCACCCAAGGTCAAGAGCATGTGCTCTGGGACAAGACATAACTTGCATTTTTTGTCTTGGCTTTATTTGTTCTTTTTCCAGTCCATGATATTTGGTCCTATGGACAGTTCTAACCCATCCCACAGCACCAGAGAAAGGGAGGGGTCTCCTCATAGTCTACAGAAGAACGAACTGCTAGCTGCACTCATGCAGGGCTTAGTAGAGCTCCACGTCTATGAAGCTTTTCCTCTCCCCATCTCTATAATCTCATCATTTTCTGCATCTCCTTTTTGAACACTCACCATATGTCTATTAGTTTGCTACACTGGGGTGGATTTCATGTTGCCATGATGCTGCAAGCTATGCCACCAGTATTTAAAATACCAGCAGGGTCAGCTGTGGCAGACAAGTTTCAGCACAGCTTTCAGACTGAGACAGACTAAAAAGCAAGACTGGAGATCCTTGAAAACTCTATGAAAGTGACCATAATGAAGGGCGTGAACACAGTGGGCACTGTGACAATAGGTAGGACAAAGGTTCTATCTGTTGCTTATAGGGTCATAGTTGATTCAATGGCATCTAACAGGAGCAACAACTTTTAAACTATCACATAACTTAGAAATAGCACTCCTAGATACATAATGCAAAGATTCTGAATGCAAGACTGTAATGGAGACCACTTATATATCAGTGTTTGTTAAAGTATTATTCACAATAGCCAAAAGGTGGAAACAATCTAAATAATTACCAAAATATGAATAGCTAGACAAAATGACAGAGCAGGAAAAGGGATAGGAAAAGAAACATGCATCAAGGGTGGGGGCATGGGGGACCCACACTGAATCCATTACCTACCTCTATAATAAGGAATTCATCTGCTCCTTTCAGTAAAATGCTTGTCTGTCAGATATTGCTCTAAAGCTGAATATATAAATTAAGACAAACTAGGAAAAAGTGTTAGCCATTCACTTCCAAAATAACAGGCCTTTGAAAACCCCTGTGTACAATAGAGTACACTTAGAGCAGACTAGCAGGTATGTCCCCTGAGGCTGAGACTTTGAATTTGGGAACACAAATGAGGAGCAATAGTTGTAAGCATACACTAATAACTGGAACATAAAATGTGAAAAGCATAAATGTAGGAAAATAGGACATTGTTAAAAAAGAAATGGAATGCACAAATATTGACATATTAGGTATTGGTGAAATGAGAGGGATTGGCATTGAACATTTTAAATCGGACAATCATCTGATCTACATCGAAGATAAAAGATGCAGAAAAATGAGGTCACTTTCATATTTAAAAAAGGTCATTTCTAGATTGACCTTGAAATAAATGTTGTGAGTGGTTGGATAATATCCATACACACACAAGGAAGTCTGGTGAATACCACTATCATTCAAATTTATATGCCAACAA